TTTTTTTTTTTTTTGGTACCGGGATCGAATTCAGGTCTTTGAACTTGCGAAGCAGGTACTAGAACCACTGAGCTAAATCTCTGGCCCTCCACACCTCTATCTTGATGCAATTTTATTTTATTTCATTATTTTTTGGTATTGGGGGTTGAACCCAGGAAGTTTGTACTGAGCTACATCCCCAGCCCTTTTTAATTGTTTATTTTGAGATAGGGTCTACCTGTGTCACTAAACTGCTCTGGCTGAGCTTGAATTTGTGATCCTTCTGGCTCAGCCTCCCAGAGTGCTGGGATTATAGGTGTGTGCCACCATGCCCAGCTCTGATGCAGTTGTAATAGTGTGGTCAAGGAAAGCTTTACTGAGATCTGAGCTGAAGCCTGGAAGGGCTGAGGGAGTGAGCCATGCAGAAAACTAGAGAAAGTTTTCTTTGCCGGGTGAAGAGCCTGAGTGAATGCCATGAGGCTGCTCTCTAAGTCAGAAATAGTGAGGAAGCTACAGTGGGTGAAGTGGAGTGAACAAGGGCCAAGGTGGTAGGCTGGAAAGTCAGAAAGGAGCGAGGACATGGTTTCAGAGATCTGCGTATAGACTACTGGAAGGACTTTGGCACTGGTGGGAGTAACAGTAGGAAAAAACTCCAGTGTGAGCTGGGGGTGTTGCTCAGTCGTGGAGCATGTGCTTAACTTTTGGGAGGCCCTGGGGTCAATCACCAGCACCAACCCCCCCCCACAAAAAGCCAAAAAGAGAAACAAATCAAAAAACTGTATGTGTGTACTCATTATGTCTCAGATACTGCTTTAAGCCCTTTGTATTACTTATTATCTCGTTTAATCACAACAACAGTATGAAGTAGGGAATATTGTTATTCCTGTGCTACGGATGAGAGGCTGCATGTAGTAAAAGTGGGACTAGGATTTGAACTCAGGACTAGCTGACTCCAGAGCCCTTATTTGGCACTACCAGTCAAGATGCAGGGGGAACACTTAGCACACTTCCAAGGACCTAGGAGGTGCTCAGTAAAGGCCAGGATTCTAGGAGGTGCTCAGTAAAGGCCAGGATTGCTATGAGAAATAACAAGATGATTTTTTTAAGAATCTTCTCTCTTCCCTGTCCTTGTCCGCAGCCGCTCAAGCCTCAATGCCAAGCCCCATGACAGCCTTGACCTGAACTGTGACAGCCGGGACTTCGTAGCCGCCATTATCAGTATCCCCACCCCTCCTGCCAACACACCAGATGAGAGCCAACCATCCTCCCCTGGTGGCGGCGGCAGCAGTAGTGGTGGGGCCAGGAGTGCCCTCAGGAACTCCAGCCTGGGTACCCCCTGCCTCCTCCCTGAGACTGTCAAGATCTCTTCCCTGTGAGGGACAGGCCTGCCCATTCAGAGGGCCCTCCTCATTCTTGGGTATTCCTTTCCAAAGCCATATTTTGAGGAGGCAGAGAGGGGCAGGCCTGGCGACGCCTCTGCCCTCTCCCAAGAACTATGCAATGGAGTTTTATGAAATGATCCACTTGTGGGGAAATGTAGCCAGGAGGAGGGAAACTGCTCCCCCTAGACAGGTGTCCTGGTGGGAGCTGAAGTACTGGGCTTCCACAGAACCCTGGCTTCCTTCCCCAGCACACTGGAACTGACCCCTCTCTCCCAGCTGGCCTCCTGCATGCTCTTCCTCCTGGGCCCTCAGAAGTAGGTAAAGCTTCCCTCTGACATCTGAGTGCTGGCCTGATGAGGAGAGTTGAGAGTTCCTCTTCTTTCTGGCAGGGCTCTGGCAGTTTGGGGGTTTAGAAACAAGAATCCTCTAGGAAGAGGCACACCCTCCCTCCTTGGGCCCAGTAATTCCTAGATTCTGAAGCTTGAAATGCAACCATGGGCTTCATGGGCTGTGGCCTCAGCAGCGACCTGTACCCTCCCTAGGTCTTGGCCAAGGGGTCAGGCTGCCTCTCCCAACACACAGATAGCACAAACACAACCACTCCCTTCCCTGGCTGCTGGAAATGGGTTCCTACAACCCTGTCCTCTGCTGGGGCCTCAGCAAATAGCAATAGCAGCTACTGCTGTGACAATATACAAAGCCTCTGACCAGTTCGCTGCAGCATGTACATCTGCCCTGATCAGATGGGCCACCTCTTACTACTGCTACTCTCTTCTCTGGTTTGCTTCTTTTCTGGGCTAGGCTGGAGTCTGGACTGGTTGAGATAACAGCCTGGCAGCCTGAAGAGCTGGGCTAAGTGTAGAGATCAAGGGCCAATTCTTTGTTCTTGGGCAGGAGTCTAGAAGTGTCAGGGCCAAAGCCTGGGTTGTTCCTGAACTCTGGGAGGTTTAGGAGACAGAAGGAACTTCTTGGTCACCTTCTCTTCCCCTACACCTCGTTTTCACATATTACCCTCTTCTCCCTCTTGGGTCACCTTCCAGAGCTCTGATCTCAGGCTGAAATCTGGCATCTCAGGCTCCCTGTCCCCAGCACTGTCCTTGTGGAGCTGGCAGATGACAAAGATGTAGTTTCCATCAGTCAATAAAACCTGAGAAGCGAGATGAGGACTGAGTACCTTTTGACTCTATGGGCTCGGGGGCTGGGTTGGGCTGTTTGAGAACACTTTGATCTCAACTGTGGTAAAGCCAGGATGGACAACGGGCCAGTCATATTTTGGGGAAGTATAAAGGGGCAGGCATGGGGAGCTGGATGGTTGGTGATGTATTCTGGAAGATGAAGATTGAGGAAGAATGAGAGAGCATGGTTTGAAGACTCGAATCTTTAGCCAGCAAGGCAGGCCAGCAGCCCTTGGACAGCATCTGCTCTAGCTCTCTCATTCATAGATAGGCAAACCAAGATTCGAAATAGCACATAGTTTTAGTTAGTTTGTTTTTGTGATGGGATCTCTATTTTGTCCAAGCTGATCTCGAACTCTTGGGCTCAATAGATCCTCCTGTCTCAAACTCTCAAGGGAGGAACTACCAGTACATGCCACCATATCTGGGCATGTAGTTAAGAGAGTAAACTCAGGCTTCCTGACAGCAAACAACTCTAGATTTAACCTTAATAAAAGCATCTCTGAGTCTGGTAAATTCCCCTTCCTTCTGGGCATCTCTACATTCTCTCTTCTGGGCTACTGGCTACACTTGGCTAGTGTGTGATTGTGCTCTGTAGAGCAAAAAGAAAGGCTTTGGAATCAGGTTGACCTGTTACAATCACCTTGTCTTGTGTCAGGTTGCTAATCTGTGATATACAGATAATAATTCAGTTTTTCTTCAAATATTTATTAACTGCCAATGATTGACCTTGTCTCTGATGTACAGAGTTGATCATGAAAGTCAGACAAGTAATTACAACACAGTATGGTAGAACTAAGATGAATGCGTTATAGAGCCATGTAGATAGCAGGGAACCTAATCTGGCCAACACACAAGGAAGGAGCTGGAGTCATCGAGGCAAAAGACAAAAGGCTGAAAATATGAAAATGCAGGCAGAGGGAACAACAGATACACTGACCTGTGGGTTAGAGAGCAGGCTCAGAACTTTCTCGGGAACTGAAAGTAGTTCAGTCAGGCTGGGAAGGGGAGTGAGGCTGGGAGGAGGGGAAGAAAAGAAAACAGAGGCCAGATCACAAAAGACCTTGGCAGCTGTCAGGCAGATTTGGGACTTCATCATAAGAATAATGGACCTCTGAAGGTTAGAAACAGAAAAGTTATGAGGAGGATGTGTTTCAGAAGGGTCATTCTGGCTGCAGAGTGGATTACAGTCTGATGAAGAGCAGTGAAGAGGCTTTTGTGATCCTGTGTGTAGAGAATGGTAGCTTGAACCAGAGTGATGGTAGTAGAACTGGGAGAGTGAAGAGATTTGAGAGAGTTGGGAATATGACACATGCCTGTAACCTCAACACTTGGAAAGCTGAAACATGAGGACTAAAGGTTCGAGTCTCACCTGGGCAATTTAACAGTATCCTGTCTCAAAAATAAAAGGCCCCTCAGTCCTAAGTGTGTGTGTGTGGGGAGTGAGATTTAAGAGGCAGATGGGCAGTATTTGGAACAGGCTTGTGAGAGTCTGAGAAGAGAGAGCAATTAGGGCTGACTCCCAGATTTCTGGTTTAGGCAGTGGTGCTGTTCACTATCAAAGGGAGAATCAAAGCTGGGCATGATGGTGCACCCTTGTAATCCCAGCACTGGGGAGGATCATCACGAATTTGAAGCCAGGCTGGGCTACATAATGAGTTCGAGGCCAGCTGAGCTACACAGTGAGAGCCTGTCTCACCAATAAATAAATAAATAAAATAAAAGGCATCTCAAAGCTGTCAGTGCACAGCGTCAAATAGTGTATGTAATAAGAACGGGGTGAAGGTAAGCCACAGATATCATGAGTTCAATTCTGGAGTAGTTTTGGTCAGATATTCAATGGGAAAATCACCACTAGGGCCCTTTTATTACTGGTGCCTTTCAGGGAAGCACTTTAGTTAAAGCTCAGCACCTGAAGGCAGACCATCAGGCAGCAAATTCTGATGGACTTTTTCAGTTATTCTGGTGTATAATTTGGTTTCTAAAAAATGGCAGGAAGGCCTCTCACACTGCCTTTTTTTTTTTTTTTTTTGTACCGGGGATCGAACTCTGGACCTCGCGCCTGAAAGGTAGGAGGCCTTACCACTGAACTAAATCGCCAGCCCCACGGTGCTTTCTTAATTTACAAGCTCATCTGAATCCTATTAACATTTCTGAGGTCGTGTAGGCAGACACGAGCCCCTTTTACACATGGCTAATCTCAAAAAAGACACAATTGGGTTGGAGATATAGCTCAGTGGCGCCAGCGCCTGCCTAGCAAGGTCCCGAGCTTCCCGTTTCAGGGGGAAAAAAAAATAAATTCGCACAAGGTCATGAGGGTCCGATGCACCTGGAAATTAGGTTTTCCTGACTCCAAAGCCTAGGCTTCTTCCTCTGCATCACTATGCAGACTAAGACTAAGTATTTCCTATGTGCCATGCACAGCACCAAGCCATTTGCGGCCATTAATCCCCGATTCTCAAATTCGAATTACTGCTATTTTACAGAGTAGCAGAAAGTGAGGATTGAATGGTTATTAAATGACTTGCCAAAGATCACTCAGACAAGAAGGGCAAAGCTACCATGTTAGTAATTTTCCAGCCGTTTAATAGCAGGAATTTTGCTAACTCCACTGCAAGACGCTGGCTGGCGACAGAATAAACATTCGCTCAACCTAAGCAAACTCGGTTTTAGAAAAAATTTTTTAAAGGCAGCACAGCTGCGCCTGCGCTGTAGCCATAGGGGCGGGAGGTCAACTCGAGGGCGAGAGGAAGGCGGTGCCAGAGAAGGCGTGCCTGTTTTCCAAACTCCCACTTTCCCCACGGTGAGTATCTGTCCCAGCGTTGGCCTGCCTGACATGAGTGACGGTATGTCTTAACCAATCATCGCAGAACCCAGCTAGTTGCCAGGGTGAAGCAGCGCCCGCCTCTCCAGCGGAAGGGGATACTGGTGCGTGGAACCGGAACTGACGCTGCAGGTGAATGCAATGCTTTGGGAGTGTTGCTATTTTCCAGTTAGCCCGGCTGACTGCGTTCAAGTTGGAAGCCTGGAGGAAAAGCGTCCTAATCGTCCGCAGGACAGGCTACGCTGTCTCTTTGCTGTACCTGGGCTCACGACTCGGAACCTCAGGGAGAGAGCCGAACAGAACGGGCGGAGAAGAAAGGCTGAGAACTAGAGTGAGGACTTTGATATTCGAGACTGAGGGCTCCGGAGTGCGAGCGCTCGCCTATGATAGGCCTGTTGGCATCTTCAGGATCCCACACAACTTCTTCGATTGGTTGGTGTTCGCAATTGTTGGGCCGGTGGCGGTGATTTTGCCCACGTACTTCCGAGCGAGGGGCGGGGCTGTGGCCTGCGCATGCGCAGGGCCCTGGGGCCCCACCCGGTAGCTCAAGAACCTGCGAGGGGGCGGAGCGAAGAGGTGCTTGTTTTGGTTCTATTTCCTTTGAAGCAGAAGGCTGGAATGAGATAACAATAAACTTGCTGGAGTTGCAGAGAAGGCCACAACAAACTCGCTGCGGTGCCTTCGTGGTGGACTTCACATCCGGTTCCTGCTCCGGGTGTGACCTGCGTACCGCCGAGAGTTCTGGAACCCGTGCCGTGATCTCTTTATCCGGGTCTCGCTGTTCCCGTCGTGCATTTCCTTTGAAGCAGAAGGCTGGAATGAGATAACAATAAACTTGCTGGAGTTGCAGAGAAGGCCACAACAAACTCGCTGCGGTGCCTTCGTGGTGGACTTCACATCCGGTTCCTGCTCCGGGTGTGACCTGCGTACCGCCGAGAGTTCTGGAACCCGTGCCGTGATCTCTTTATCCGGGTCTCGCTGTTCCCGTCGTGCGCCGCGCACTACTGTAGCCCCCCCCCCTCATCCGGGTTCTCTCCC